GGAAAAAAAAAAGGGGGGGCCCGAGGGATGCAAGGGTGGCCGGTTTTCATTCTTGGGGAGGGGTGGTTTGAAATTGAGACTGATTTAAGAAAAGGCCCGGGGGAAACCTAGGGAATTTTTTAAACGGGTGGAATTAAAGGTAGGGTTTTTGTGGGAAACAAGGGGGGTTTAACCCCCCAAAGGGTTAAAAAGGAAATGGGGGATAAAACATTAGCAAGAGTTTAAAATTAAGACAAATTTAAAAAAAGGTCAGCCCAAAAAAGGGGGCAGCCCGAGGGCCGGGGGAAAAAAAATTTGGGGGTTTTTTTTTCAAACCCTTTGTTTGGGGGGAAAAAAAGATAAATTTTGGGGGAACTAAGGATTAATTCAATAGGGAAAAATAGTTTAAACTATAAAAGAGACCCGGGGCCCAATTTCGGGAAATTTTATGGGTTCCTTTTTAAAATTACATCAAGGTTTTTTAAAAATTTTTTACAAGGAAAAGGGGTTTAACCACGGGAAAGGTTTGGAGTAGGGAATAAAAATTTAAAAATTTAAATTGTTGGGGGGAAAGGAAAAAAATATTTTTAAATTAGGGGAACCCAAAAATGGAATCGTTGGGTTCCCCCTTTCGGGGCAAAGGGGAAAAAAAAATTTTGGGGGGGGTGAACGGGAAAACCCTTTTATAAGGGAGGGGGTTTTTTATGGGCCGAAATTCTTTAGGGGAATTTTACTTAGAAAAATTTTGTTCCAAAAAGGGAAAAAATTTCAAAAAAAATTTACCAAAGGGTTTATGGGGCAAATTTAAAAATTTAGGTCCGGGGATTTTTGGAAAAAAAGAAAGGGGAAATTGTTTTTTAAAAAGGGAAAAAAACCAGGGGAAAAAAAAACCTTTGAATTTTTTGCCAAAAAAGGGGGAAACTAAAAAAAATTTTTGGGGTTAAAAAAATGACGGGGAAAGTGGATCCAAATTCCCTCAGTTTTAAAAATTGGAATTTTTAAAAAATCCCTTTTTAAATTTTTCCGGGGGATTTTTGCGGTATTTCCCTAATTTAAAAATTATTAGGGGGCTAAATTGGGAAATTGGGGCAAGGGCAGGTTTTGGGTTATGGTTTTAAAATGCTTCCCCCGGGCCTGTGAAATTAAGCGGGGCAAGGAAATTGTTAAAAGGGAAACCGTTCAAACCAAAAAAATCCTAAAAAGGATTGCCCAAAATTAAAAAATTGAATTTCAAAAAGGGGGAAAGGCTTTTTTTGGCAAACCCAAAAAGAAAAGGGGGAAAAAAATCGGAAAAATTAATTAAAGGGAGAGAAATTAAAAAGGGGAATTAAAAACAAAGAATTAGAGGTTTTTAAAGGGGTTTTGCCAAAAAATTTAAACTTTTTTTTAAAAGGGTTTTTAAAGGGAACAGGGAATAAATAGGGGAAAGGATAGGAATTTAAAGGTTTTGGGGGCCCACTTTTTAAAATATAAAGGAAAAATTTAAAAAAATTTTAACAAAATTTTTTTTAAGGAGGGACAAAACGAATTGTTTGAATTTAAAAAGGGAAAAAACAGGGGGAAATAAACCTGTTCACAAGGGGGGCCAAATGTTGGGCCCCCCTTGGCAAATTAAATTAAAAATAAAAAATAGGGGCCTGAAGGAACGATCGGGTTTCCTTAAAAAATGGGGGAAAAGAGGACTTAAAACACCCGGGAAATTTTTAAAAAACTACAAATGGCAAAAAAGGGGGCCCGAAAGAGGAAATGGCAAATTTAAAACCAAATTTTTTAAAAAGGTTGGGCAGGTCCTTCCCCTTTAAAATAAAAATTAAACCTTTAATATTTGGTTGGAAAAATTTAGGAATTTTTTAATAATTGCCGAAAAAGGGAAGTTTCGTAAAACCAAACCTTTGGAAAAGGAAAATTAAAAAAAAGGGGTCCCCAGGTTGGGTTTTCAAATTTTCCCTTTTTACCCAATTTAAATTTTTGGACTTTTTTCACCGTATTTGAAGGAATTAAAACCTTTGGGTTTAATGGGGGAAAAAAGATATTTGTATAGGAAACCCCTTTTAAGGATTTTTCAGGGGTCCACCTTTTAGAAAGGGGGCTAATTTGGGGGGGGGAAAAATTTAAAAGGACAGGAAAATAAAGGGGAAAAGGGGAAAATTTTTTCCGGATGAGGGAAAGGGTTGGAAAAAATTAGGAACAGGGGGTTTGGAAAATTTGGGGGGAAAAAAGTTTTGGGGGGGTGGCTTTCCCAAGGGGCCGTTTGGGCCCCCTTTTGTTTAAAAAAATTTAAAAAAACATAGAAAAGAGGGTTTGGGGGGGACAAAAACGGGAAAGGGGTTTTCCGTGACCCCAAAATGGCCTTGGGTTCTTTTGGGGGCTTGGCAACCCAGGAAAATTTGGGAATGCCCCGTTGGGGAGTGGTTTTAGGTTTGGCAGATGCCGTTTAAATATAGAAAAATGGAAATTCTAAATTTGGGAAGGCAATAACCTGCCCCATAAAAATAATTTTTGGAATTTAAAAGTAATTTAGGAATTTTTCGAAAAAGTTTAGGTTTTGCGTTAAAATTGTCTGGAAAACCAAAAAACCGGGGCATTTAAAATTTGAATGTAAAAAAACCTTTGGCTTAAATTTTTAAAAACATTTATAATAGGGTGTCAAAAATTGGGTTTTAACTTATAAACCTTGGGTTTGGTAAAATTTTTTATATTTTTGGGAAAAAGTTTTGGGAACCGTTTTTACGAAAAAGGTATTTAAATTTCTGGAAAAGTAAATGTTAGGGAAAAAGATGATCCCCCAATTTTTTTTAGAAACTTTATAGGAAAGACTTTAAAAAAGGGTTTTAAACTTGAACCCCTTTTTGGAAAGGGCGTAGAAGTTAGGGGGGAAATGTTGGGGGAAAATAAGTGGAAGCAGGAAAAAAATTAAAGGGAAGTTTTAGTTGCTGAAAATTCTAGGTAGACGGGCTGAGAATGGGTTTTTGGTTTGGAAAAATTCCGGGTCAGAAGTGAATTTAGGGATTACTGGTTTTTAATTTTTGAAAATTTTTGGAAAAGATTTAAAAAAATTTAAATTAAAAAGTTTTAAAAAAAGGGGGAAGGTTTTGGGGTTTTAAAATTTGGGTTTGGGATAAATACTGAAATAAATTTTTGGGTTTTTGGGTGTTGGTTAACCTAAAAACTTTTGTTAGGGCGGTTTGGGCCGTGTTTCCCCCTTTTTCAAGTAAACCCGGGGTGTCGGGGGGAGGGTGGGGGTTTGGGTTGGAGGGGTTTGGGCCCGGAATCCAAAAAAAAAAAGGGAGGTTCGCCGTGTTTTGTTCTGATGTTTCTTATTTATTAAATTTAAATTGAAAATTGGGAATATTGGAACCTTAGGGAAACGTGTTAAGGATTTTTAATATTTGAACCAGGCAATAAAAGGGCTAGGGGAAGGAAATTGGGGAGTAGTAATTGTTAGGTTTTAAAATTTACTTAGTTAAACCCGTTTTAGGTTTTTACTGCTGTTTGAACAAATTAGGTAATATGGGCTGTAGTAAATTTTTAAAGGTTTAATTAAATTTACGTAGTAACCTTTTTTATTTTAAAATTTCTGTTTAACCGGGGTTTGGGAATTTCTGACTGATTTAAAATGTCAGGTAAAATTCTGTGGGGGCCTCTTTGGGGTTTAAAAACGTAGTAAAAATGTTTGGTTTTTGAATGTTTTTTTAATTTTCTGGAATTTAAAAACTGTAGTAACCTGTCTACGTAATACTGACTGTAGTAACTAGTGTAGGTAATACTGACTGTAGTAACTTGTGTAGATAATACTGACTGTAGTAACCTGTCTAGGTATTATTAACTGTAGCAACCTGCCTAGGTAATACTGACTGTAGTAACCTGTCTAGGTAATACTGACTGTAGTAATTTGTGTAGGTAATACTGACTGTAGTAACCTGTCTAGGTAATACTGACTGTAGTAACTAGTGAAGGTAATACTGACTGTAGTAACTTGTGTAGGTAATAGTGACTGTAGTAACCTGTCTAGGTAATACTGACTGTAGTAACTAGTGTAGGTAATACTGACTGTAGTAACTTGTGTAGGTAATACTGACTGTAGTAACTTGTGTAGGTAATACTGGCTGTAGTAACTTGTGTAGGTAATACTGACTGTATTAACCTGTCTAGGTAATATTAACTGTGGTAACCTGTCTAGGTAATACTGACTCTAGTAACCTGTCTAGGTAGTACTGACTGTAGTAACTTGTCTTGGTAATACTGACTGTAGTAACCTGTCTAGGTAATACTGACTGTAGTATCCTGTCTAGGTAATGCTGAGTGTAGTAACCTGTATAGGTAACACAGACTGTAGTAACCTGTCTAGGTAGTACTGACTGTAGTAGCCTGTCTATGTAATACTGACTGTAGTAACCTGTCTAGGTAATACTGACTGTAGTAACCTGTCTAGGTAATACTGACTGTAGTAACCTGTCTAGGTAATACTGACTTTAGTAACATGTCTAAGAAGTATTGACTGTAGTAACATGTCTAGATAATATTAACTGTAGTAACCTGCCTAGGTAATAGTGACTGTAGTAACCTGTCTAGGTAATACTGACTGTAGTAACCTGTTATAAATAAAGTTACCCAAATGTTTCACACATGTCATATTCATCCGTCACCTATTTAAGAACATGAAGAAAAGTGACTTGGACTTTTTGGGACATCCTGGATATTTACCTCTGCTGTAATTTACTTACGTGTACTGTGCTTAAATAATTACTAAAGAGGAAGAAAGAGGAGTGTGACGAGCTGATGAAGTGGTTATATATATATATATATATATATATATATATATATATATTTATATATATATTTATATATATATATATATATATATATATATATATATATATATATATATATATATATATATATATATATATAATTTATATATATATATATATATATATATATTGATAACTAACACTGAAGTAAATACAGGTATACATAATAATACTGAATTCTGCAAAATAAATACATAATTTATTGTTGTCTTTAAGTTAAATAAATTAAAATATGTACATTATAATGACTATATGATAATTCCATAGTATGTGCACAGAATAATGATCATTATATGGTGTTCCATTACTGGAGTCGGAGGAAGAGGTAGAAAGTTTTGGGTTCGATCCCCAGGTAAGGCCAGATGTCTACCTGGAGGGAGTATCTGGGGTCAACGCCCCCTCGGTCCTGTCCGTGACTAGGCCTAACTGTGGATCAGCGTTTGATCAAACAGACGTATGGACAAGGCGTACACCTGCTGCTCCTCTTAACCTCTCGCAGTAGATAGGTATCTATGAGTGTCTACTGTAGGTCGTATCCTTGGATAGTGGGGTTTAGGATCAACTGCTAGGTCCTACAGTGAGCTGAGTTAGGATAACACCTAATAGCCTCAAAAATGCTGTTTACGAAAAGATTGATGTGGTCTTCATTATCAAAGTAGCAGAAATATTTGCAACCCTTTCATGTTCTCCATGAAAAACGAAGAACATTATTACGGAACAGAGGCTTGTATTTCTCAAGACATATATTAACTATACTATAATCCTCATCTTGGGGATTAGAGTACGTAATGTTGTCTGGGAAGATTGTGAACTTAATCAGATTCATGTAGTTGAAAGAATTCATTTCTTACAAAGGTGTCATTCAAGTATGTGGTAACTGGACAATGTGTTTGTGTTCTGCTGTGTCAGGAAGGTTACTCGAGGCTTTGTAATCCAATGGAGCTTCTTCCAGTGTCTTCTCTGATGCAGTAATCTCTGCATCACTTTGTCCACTGGAATAACAACCAGCACTCTCTCTCTCCTGCAGAAACAAAGCTCTCGTCGCCATGTTCTCTGTGATTTCTAGCCTCTTGGACATTACTGTCGGCAGACTGGAGTCTGAAGCAACAGCTGAGTTGAGGCTCTCTGAATGTTTACTAACTGCTGGAGTGGCAGTCACTCCAGCTGCGTTTTCTTGCGAGTTTTCTGTTATGCTGGGCAGTTGTTGTGTTATGGATGGGTTCTGGCACTTTTGCAAGACTCTTCCTCCAGGACCACTGAGAGTTCGAGTGATAGACTTAAGGGTGATGGACGAGCGTTTCTTCAGGAACCTATAGACAGCGTTTTCAGTTTTCTTATGTCCAACCTCTAGATCCTCAGCGTTGTAGGAAGACGAATGACGTAGCATTTCTACCAATCTGATAAAGAAAATAACAATGAAATATTAAATAGATGGCATGACAAAAAAGACGTAACATAAAATTAATAAAAATTGAAGCATAAAGAACTCGTAATGAAAGTTTGAGTAAAAACGAAGAAATAGGAATATGAAATTTGAGGATCTCTAAACCAAAGATGAGGGGGTACTTGTACCTCCTCCCATGGGAGACTTAAGTCTCGAGACACTCCCCAGATAGGGAGCCAAGGCCGGGTCACCACTACTTGGAAAAGACCCGGGCCGGGAGAATACCGGTGAATAAAAAAATAAAAAAAAAAGATCTCTAAATTCCAACCCTAAATTAGTCTGAGGACGAAATATACAGATCTCTTTTACCTTAATATATATACGATATTACTGTTACTTATATTTCCCATTTCTTTCAGGTTTCTCACTGAACTTGGATACTTCAGCACAAATATTTTTTGTCAGCAACTGTGGCATAGTTGGACTCACATGAAGGTGATCATGATGATGACGTTGAGAGAGGCAGCAAAGAAGAACTGAGCAGCTGGGAAGGTATCAACGGTGTTGTAGTAGAGAGGAGAGTAAGCTGCGTAACCAACCATTGGCATCAACCCGTTGAGTGCTGCCATAACTGCATTGATGCGACCTGTTGAACATCAGACATAAAATAGAAATTATTATAGCCCTTTTATGTGATGACTAGTGATATATTACTGAATAAATCTTCCACAAAATAATTTAACTCAATAAAATGAAATAAATATGTATTTATGTACATTTAATTACAGTATTTACTTTATTCCATCACTTGCGTGTATACTATCTAGAAAATCTTTATTCTGTCTAGTTTATTCATCTTCAAAACATTAGTAACGTAATATGAGGGTAAACTCACCCTTTTCCTTGCTAGTGACGAGTTTGGTAGACATCGACTTGAAGGAGATGACCATAGCGTTGGAGATGAGGCCTGCAGGTGGTCCCAGCCACATGAGGAATGCTTGTGCTGGTCCACTCACCAGACCATAACACAGGTACTCTCCTATCATAGAGATGGTCCCTGTCACCACCAGTGAAGCGTCCGTGAAGGACAGTAGCTTCGTCAGGAACGGCACCAGGAACAGTGAACCTGTTGATCACCAGAATGTTCAGTTTTATAAAGCTAAATAGTGGTATGGGGCACATATTTACACAAATTTTAAACTGCTTTATATATTATGGTGTATATAAGAGGATAAGCCGCTAGTATTGACGTACCAAGAGCAGCCAGAAGGTTACGATAGGTTATCCAGTAACCGTAGTCAGTAGCATTCCAATAAAGGGCGCGACGCACGAACATGTACATGAAGAACCCTGAAATAACAAGTATAAACCGTTAGAACACATTACGAATGAGTCAAAAGAGGCTTGGATTCTGTGTCTACACAGTTTGAGAACATTTTATATCGATTTGAAGACAGTGAAGGAAATAGGAACAAGAAATTACCTCGAGCCATTCGTCGTATCATGTTTCCAGCCATCACAGCCATTAAGACAGCCCGAGCGTTACCCTCACGTTTCCTAAACGCTGTCTTGAAGGACTCCACTACGCGCCTCCAGTTGAAGAAGTCAACCACCATTGTAGTAATGTTTACATCCTTCTTCTGTATACTGGACTCATCCTTGATGGATCCCTGGGCCTGTAGCTCCTTCTTAGCGTAGGGTCCGTGACTCTCCTTGATGAAGATGATAACATAAACAGCTGTGAGGAAATATGCAAGCAGCACGAGGCCCAGAGCCAGATCATAACCGCTGTACTTGATGATTAGCGCGCCTATCAGCGTGCCCAGAGGACCGCCCAAGAACCAGATGGAGTTGGCTGTGCTGATGCGAGATGTTCGCTGATCCTCCTTGCTGATGTCGCTGATGTAGCTGACTGTAGAGGAGAGAAGGCCGGCGTTTGCCCCTCCCAGAGCTTCCAACAATGTCACAAAGTAGATCACTTCTACAGGCCAGCTGGTCTGCCAGTTGGCCAGCAGGTAACCCCCAGCATACATCACGTGACCCACCAGTGTTATCAACAGAGGAATCTGTAAAGAGAAATCACAATTATTTTGATTTTGCAGTTAGAGAACATTATGGCAACAATGCAGTTTGACACAGACTTCTTAAATTTGAAAGTAGAAGTTAATAGTTAGTTGTTCTGAACGCTTCTGGAGTTGTCATTTATATTACAAAATATTATGCCTTTGAAATTTTGACCATTTCGGAACCAGTTTCTGTTTTTAATTCACTCGAAAAATTAATCTGCATATTTAGAAATTTACATCAATTTCGTGTTTTCACAATTACGAAAACACGAGTGGCTCATTTGTGAATATTTGTGAATATTTTTTTTCTGATCACTGTTACTCTTGCGTTCGTTAATAATTATCAGATTTATTTTACAACACTAAAAACACATTTGATGTATAAAAGAAAGATGATAAGTAACAGGACTTCCACTCACCTTGCGTCCGTATTTATCGCTCCAGGCGCCCATGAAGAGCACGAAGATGAGAGGCAACACTGATAAGATGATACTGTTGTAGAAGGTGAAGATAGAGAACTCTCTCTGGACTCTCACACTCTCCTCTGGATGAGCTGACAGGTTAGCACACACCTGTGGTCAACAAATGCTCTTGTTATTATATAGATATTCTTTATATTGATATATATTTATACCTTGTGCTGAGATTCAATGTCAAACTATGTTTACTGATTAATATCACGATTGTAAATAAAACCACGGAACGGGTGAGGTTTGAATCCATGTTGAGTGAATTTTACGACTCACTCGTCGTGAGTTCAAACTCCACCCGATCCGTGGTATGTTTATTAAATTTTCTGGAAAGGCCAAACACTTACCTCGGGTGAGAAGCCCAAGTTGACGGAGCAGATTTTGTTCATTTGGACATTTTCAACGAAGAGGAGCATAGCCTCTTTGCATGCTCCATCTATGAGCATGACGGGTTCCACAGTAATGGTTCTCACTGCAGTCAACAGAGCAGCCGCCATCCTGCTCTCTTTATTCACTAACGCAAACTAATAACGCAGTGTGCACAGTAAGTCCCTACTTTCAAGGCGGCAACTTTCCCTTGCCAGAACACAGTAAATCCCTGAACACCAGGAGCGCTGGGTCTTCAGACGGTACTGAGACAACGTTCTCTCCACACATTATATATGTTAGAGCATCGTTGGGGTGGGCGAGACGAAACTGGGGATCACCCCACGAGGCTGAGGCATGTTGACGTCAGTAGGATCCCAAGGTCGGTACTACCCCCAGTGACTCACTACAATATTTTTTAAATACTAAATCAAACTGACCGGGTATAATGTGATGGCTACCACGCAGTTAAATAGAATATTACAAGTGTGTTATATATTCTGTTGTACCTAAACATCTATCTTCCATATCTTTTTTAGCGAAATACAACACATGTACCAAGATTGCTTAGGGAAGATTTTATCGACAGTGACAGACAATAGAAAGTTATAGAAAGATAGGCGAGGGTTTTTTCTTATGGTCACCTGGTGTCCATGCATAAAATCCAAGATTTTCGAGGTCATTCACATAACTTTATTTACATTTTTCTCATGTTTTAATAAAGTCATTGTATTTTGTATTACTCACTATCGTTATATATTATATTGTAATGTTGCACGATACGATTCCGAAGATGGTAACGGACTTATTCCCGAAACATTAACACTATAATAAACAATTAGTGAATATTTAAAGACGTCTTATTTCCACCCACTTGTCAATATTAGAATTCTCTTTATTCTTGTTTGTTAGATTGTGTAATCAACTTTGATTTCATTTCATGATTATGTGTAAGCATTGCATGCCCTTTGCAACATACATGAACTTTTAAGAACATAAGACTGGAGGAACACTGCAGCAGGCCTACTGGCGCATGAAAGGTGGGCTCAAACCTGAGCCCACTAAACAAAAATATCTGTCATTGTTAAGTGGGTAGGATTCGTTGAAATATAAGCTAAAAATAATAATGCTAGAGATGTTATGCCCTAAGCAGCATACGTCTTGTAAGAGTCCTTTCCAATAAATGCTGAATATAACGCTATAAGGAGTATACATCAATGTAAGATTATCCCATATGTTATACGCATACTCGTGCAGTATACAGCAGTGTAGGGTTAGCCTTACATAGTGGACACACTATATAAGCAACATACAAGTACTTCTCCACACACATACCAGCCACATAACAGAGGCAACATACACCAAGGCAGCACGCTCTCTGCACATGCTATGCACATGGCCACCTGTAAATGCCTAACGCCTTCCTAAATATCATCTCTTTCTTGCTTACATCTGCTCCCTGTTGGGCTAAACTCACCTCACCAGCGTCCACACACTGAGGCTGCATCTCTCAGCCTCTCACTCACTGACGCCCCGACCAGAAAGTGAAAAAACTTGCTTTTAGATCTAATTTTGTGTGATCTTTGCGTCATCTAAGTGGATGCTTGCGCTGGACGCTTGTTCCCCGTGATGCTCCGGGACTCTGACTTTGTAGTAAGTGAAGAAATCTACAAATAATCTAGAATTTGGGGAAGAACCTGACATATTCAATCTAGATTTCTATTTTTCTGTAATGTCATAGTACCTGAATGCCAGTGGAGGGGCTCTTGATCCTAAGAACCGGAGGTGCCCAAGCCCTTTGGATATAATCTGGGTGCCTCTCAGGAATTGAAGGAAGGGAGTGTCTAATTCCTGCGATCAAAAGTTTCTGTCGTGAGTATTGTATCCTGTCCAGGAAAAACTGACTGTAGCAACCTGTCTAGAAGTACTGACTGTAGTAACCTGTCTAGGAAGTACTGAATCCCCTAAATACCTCGTTTTGGTCTAAATCTAAATACATGTATTCCATTGCCTTAATCTTTTAGCTGTCTCAGCTGTGCTAATTTCCAAGTGGATAAGAGTCCAGGACCAGTCTTTTCAAGGTTGATGGACTGACTACATCGACTCCAGGCTGAGGGACTGATTACCTCAAACTCCTTTTGATCTTCACCATTCTTCTTTGTTTAGGACTGAAACGTTTCCACCTCTCTGTTCCTTGACCTGTTCCAGGATTTCTCCAGTTATGGTCCTCCCCATCACCTGAGTTAAGTAATTTACACTATGTATGATAACTGCACTTATATATACCCATGCCTAAATAAACTTTCTTATTTACTTACAATTAGTTATTAACTGAGAAACAAACAAGACTCGACCCCAGACATTTCCAACATCTTTCCTTACTGTGTAGGTGATAACCTCTCCTTTCTGGCCTTGGCATCCTGGAAGTCATGTTTCTGTCTTTCCACACACTCTCGGACGCTTCCTTACTCGGTGACTCTGAACAAAAAGGCGTTGGCTGTTTTTGTCTCGTGTGAAGGTCACCTGGCTGGTATGTAGATCTCTGCCAAAATTTTCCTTTTGTCTTTGGTGATTATTAATCTAGTTTTTAGTCAACTTTTTCGAGGTTTTAAATTCTAATGACTTACGCTAGAGGTGTGGGTGTGCTTACCTATTTGTGGTTGCAGGGGCCGATTCACAGCTCTTAGCTCTAATGTGTGTATTCGCCTAATTGTTGTTTAATGGGTCTAGTCATAGGTCCTGGTTCCGTCTCTTAACTGGTCTCTACTTGGTCCATTCTCTCCCTGCTCTATGAGCTTTATCATAACTGTCTTTAAAGCTATGTACGGGTCCTGCCTCCACTACATCACTCTGTGACTGAAGAAATACTTCCTAACATCCCTGTGACTTATCTGATTCTTCATCTTCCAATTTTGACCTCTTCTTGATGTGTGTGTGTATGTGTGTGTGTGTGTGTAGTAACCTATATGTACTCACTTATATGTGGCTGCAAGGATCGAGTCACAGCTCTTGGCCCCGCCTCTTCGCTAGTCGCTATTAAGTCACTCTCTTCCCGCTCCAAGAGCATTATCATACCTCTTCTTAAAGCTAAGTGAGGTTCTTGCCTCCACTACATCATTCCAGATAGTTCCACTTATTGACAACTCTAAAACTAAAGAAATACTTCCTAACATCTCTGTGACTCATCTCAGTTTTCAACTTCCAGTTGTGTCCCATTGTTCCTGTGTCCCGTCTTTGAAGCATAATAGCCCTGTCCTCTCGGTATTTTGTACGTCGTTTTCATGTCCCCCCTATCCGTCCTATCCTCTAGTGTCATTAGGCTGAGTTCCCTTAATCTTTCCTCGTAGGACAAACCTCTCAGTTCTGGAACCAGTCTTGTTGCAAACTTTTGCACTTTCTCCAATTTCTTAATGTATCTGACGAGGTGTGGGGGGTTCCACATTGGAGCTGCGTACTCCAGTATGGGCTACACGTACACAGTGTACAGTGTCATGAGTGACTCCTGACCTAGATATCGAAACGCTGTTGTCAGGTTTGCCAGGCGTCTATATGTTGTAGTAGTTATTTGTATAATGTGCACCTCAGGAGATGTGCTCGGTGTGACGCTCACCCCAAGATCCTTTTCACTGAGTGAGGTTTGCAGCCTTCGATCCCCTAGCCGGTACTACGTGTGTGTGTGTGTGTGTGTGTGTGTGTGTGTGTGTGTGTGTGTGTGTGTGTGTGTGTGTGTGTGTGTGTGTGTGTGTGTGTGTGTGTGTGTAGTGTAAGACCCTGCTGCTAGAACAATGCTCATTGCACACACACTGCCAGAAGGCCTTCGACACAGTTCCTCACAAGAGGTTACTGCAAAAGCTAGAGGACCAGGCACACATAACAGGAAAGGCACTGCAATGGATCAGAGAATATCTGACAGGGAGGCAACAACGAGTCATGGTACGCGACGAGGTGTCAGAGTGGGCGCCTGTGACAAGCGGGGTTCCACAGGGGTCGGTCCTAAGACCTGTTCTGTTCTTGGTATATGTGAACGACATAACGGAAGGGATAGACTCAGAAGTGTCCTTGTTTGCAGATGATGCGAAGTTAATGAGAAGAATCAAATCGGATGAGGATCAGGCAGGACTACAAAGAGACCTGGACAGGCTACAAGCCTGGTCCAGCAACTGGCTCCTTGAATTTAACCCTGCCAAATGCAAAGTCATGAAGATTGGGGAAGGGCAAAGAAGACCGCAGACACAATATAGTTTAGATGGCCAAAGACTGCAAACCTCACTCAAGGAAAAAGGTCTGGGGGTGAGTATAACACCGAGCATATCTCCTGAGGCACACATCAATCAGATAACTGCTGCAGCATACGGGCGCCTGGCAAACCTACGGATAGCGTTCCGATACCTCAGTAAGGATTCGTTTAAGACTCTGTATACCATCTACGTCAGGCCCATACTGGAGTATGCAGCACCAGTTTGGAATCCACACCTAGTCAAGCACGTCAAGAAATTAGAGAAAGTGCTAAGGTTTGCAACAAGACTAGTCCCAGAGCTACGGGGATTGTCCTGCGACGAAAGGTTGAGGGAAATCGGTCTGACGACACTGGAGGACAGGAGGGTCAGGGGAGACATGATAACGACATATAAAATACTGCGCGGAATAGACAAGGTGGATAAAGACGGGATGTTCCAGAGATGGGACACAGACACAAGAGGTCACAATTGGAAATTGAAGACTCAGATGAATCAAAGGGATGTTAGGAAGTATTTCTTCAGTCATAGAGTAGTCAGGCCATGGAATAGCCTAGAAAGGGATGTAGTGGAGGCAGGAACCATACATAGTTTTAAGGCGAGGTATGATAGAGCTCATGGGGCAGGGAGAGAGAGGACCTAGTAGCAATCAGCGAAGAGGCGGGGCCAGGAGCTGTGACCCGACCCCTGCAACCACAAATAGGTGAGTACACACACACACACACACACACACACACACACACACACACACACACACACACAACACACACACACACACACACACACAAACACACACACTCACACACACACACACACACACACACACACACACACACACACACACACACACACACACACAAACACACACACACACACACACCACACACACACACACACACACACACAAACACACACACACACACACACACACACACACACACACACACACCACACACACACACAAACACACAAGGAGAGTACGAAGAAAACAACAGGGTGATGGTGGACACACTGGCTGAGGTGGCAAGAAGAGCTCACTCGAGCAGAGCAAAGTTACTGGTAATGGGCGATTTCAACCACAGGGAGATCGACTGGGAAAACCTGGAGCCACATGGGGGTCCCGAAACATGGAGAGCCAAGATGATG